AAAAAAAACGGCCGACACTTGCTTTCAACTTATAATCGTTTATCTTAATTTGTATGGTTTACTTTAATTGTTCACATTTATTTAATTAATGAAAATAACTTTTATAACTAAATTTAAACCCTAACATTTCCTTTACATGCTCGGCTCGGGCTCCCTTATATAGAGGTGTAAATGAGCCGGAAGACTGGTTTGTGTTTCAACTTGTTGAAATTCTTTTTTTTTTTCGCATTTGACTCATTTCAAACTCGTGAATAATCTGTTTGTGTTTTAGCTTGTCAATAATTTGTTTCGAACTCATTTTTTCAGATTAAGCTCAGGTTCAGCTTGAGTGTAACTCGAGCTCGTCATTAGACTAAATAATTTGATTAGTAAAATTATTATTATCAAATTAAAAAACATAGTTATTTTTAATGCAAAGTGTTTGTATGCTTCTCATTCGGACCAGTCACATTTTTCTTGTATTGAAGAGTTTTGCTATTAATTTTATAAACTTTTTCTCACGCTAACTTAAGGTAATCCTGATATGGGTAAAAATGATCAAGATTTACATAGCGGGGTCTTTCCTTCTCGCAAACTTGTCCATGCTGTGGTCCCTGTCGATTCCTTCCTTCATAGTTCGGGTTGCTGTTCTAAATTATTACTTTAAGGTTATTTATATTCATACTACCCCAATTATATGTGTTTACGTATCGAACTCTTTTTTTTTTTATGATTATACCTCCATAATTTTTTTAAAATTAATAAAATTAGTAATTTTTTAATATATGTATCAAAATTTAAATTAGAAAGAATGTAAATAAATATTATTATTTAATTATTTATGTATTTTAAGCTAAAAAAAATTTGTTCCAGTTTTGTTTCGCTTGTTCTAGTTTGAACCTGTTGATAAATCGTTCTCAAAATAGCTGTTTTGAATGGATAAATCGAATTTGAGCTACTTATACCGTTGAACAGGAGTTGTTCATGAATAACAAGCTTTTTTGATAACCCTACCCCTAGCCCGAGGACATGAGTGTCTTCGTCCCGTTATTAACTTTCATACAGGCGACACACGACTAATATTTATGTCCTCAAAATTCTAAATGGGTTATTTCGCTTTGCATGCAAGCTCTCTCATAAGCCACCCACAATGCTTCAAAACTTTCTCCTTTTGAGTAAAGCAACAACTCTTGTTATCGATTCAGTCCGCTTGTTCCTTCTTGGATTCATCCCTCACAGATAAACCTTGGGCTACTGCAGCGGCGTCATCTTCTTTTATCGTACTGAACACATTTGAACTACGTCGCTTATGCTTCTTTCTTAAGCATGAGCACCATTTCTCTTTCATGCGCTCAGTTAGGGTTTGAAGGTTATTACACACATGACAACATTGCATATCTTTTTTTAATTCTATACATCTACCGTCTGTCCGGTTCCGAAGGAAAACTATCTCAATTGTTTCATCAAATTGTCACCGCCGTTCCAAATTATTTTATTTGATCTATTTTTTCTTTATTTTTGAAGTTATTATACATCATGTTTTTTTCTTGTACTGTTTGAATTTTTATTCATAATAAACAAGCCGGCCCATTAGCCGGCTTGAACACCTAGAATTATGCTCAAGCTCGAGCTTGGGCTTAAACTCGTTTATTTAATCAAGCTGAAGCTGAAGCCGAGGTTGGCTTGATATAGACTCGAGTCATATTTATCTCTAGTTGCCCGCGCTGTTTTGGCTCTAGTCCGCCGTGAAGGTCTGTTGAGGTTTGCTCTTGGGCTCCAACAACCAAAATTATTGCCCAGATTGTTACGACTCGCACATCGTCATGTTGTCTAAGTAGAGCACAACTGCAATACCAAATTATATCCTGACAAATGGTTTCATAACTTTCCAAGGAGTGAAGTTCCTCACCTATGTAGCTGGTTGAAAGAAAATAGATTTCTTGAGCGGGGAGATGTTCTGTCTTTTGAAAAGCGAGGTGATCTGCATGAAATAGAAATTAATTTGGATATATAGTTACTTGCGCCCTCATCTCGCGGCACATGTTCCCTCTTCTCCACCTTAATGTCTGCACACTTGGTTGCTGCAAATGGATTTGCCACAATTTGTTAGGACGCCCTGTTTTTTTGTTGGTAGAATCATTTTCTGCATCGCAAAATATACCACAGATCAACTTTATTGGCGGCAAGGTAAGCCTTTTTTCTGCCAATGCGGATATTATGGTATCAAATTTGGATGCTTTATCTCCTAAATAATTTTACTAGCCAGAGTTAGTGTCGGTCCGGGCATGCTACGGTTAAGTATTTGCTATGAAAAATTCTAGATGTAAAGTGGCAGTCGACATTTAATTTTTAGTCCAAGGAAAAATTCTTTAACATAAGTAATTGTGGTCTGCATTCCATGGAAACTGAAATTGGTGGGAAGGTTGAATTGGTATATCGTGAGTGATGTGAACTTTGTTGATTTAGTTGTACGGTAAATGTTAGGATTTAGGCAAAGGTTTACTTTCTTTTAAAGAATGACAGTGAAGAGTCTGTAATCATTGTTGCAAACCATGCGTTCTCCCGATGGGAGCTAAATGTCCAATTGCTGGAACAGTCAAGTGGGCATGGTTGCCCTTTGTTTGAATTTCAAATTTTTTCTTTTAAGTTTTTTTTTTCCTATATTATGTGCTTGAATTTTGGGCTTTGGGCTAAGCTGTTTCATTGAGCCGTCTCATGTTATTTTATATAATGATTAGGATATCATTAATGCTGTTCTATATATTTTGATATTTCAGATGAAGTCGAATGGTTCTGTACTTTACACAGAGAAAATGATTGGTCACATTCCTGGTTTGTTTTCACCTTTACGATTCCTTTATTGTATTTTAAGTTTAAACGTTATTCCACTTTATGTATTTGCTTCATTCTTGGTGGGTTTTTTCTGGAAATGAAATTATCTAGAAAATTATCTGATTTGTTAATGGATAGGTATTCCTGTTGGACATCAGTTTTTTTCACGGGCAGAAATGGTGGTTCTTGGCATACATAGTCATTGGCTGAATGGTATAGATTACATGGGTGACAAATATGCTAAATTGGTAACTTTCCAAATCATTTTGTTAAATTTTTAAGTTAATTGGGCCTTGATATATTACTTGCTTACCCAAGTGATTTGGTTTTTCATAGACTTTTCTTTTTCTACTTTAAGATTTTTCTTTGAACTTTCTTGTACCCGTCTTATATTTAGGCGTTCTATATCACATGATATCATTAGTCTTGATCTAATTTTTTTTAGATTTATTGTTGCTTTATTGATTATTTGCTTAATGATTTGCTAATTTTGTTTAATATCATATTCAATGAACTATCCTTAAATTAGCATAAGATATAATGGAGGTAGGTTCAATTTTACTGGTTGAGTTTACTTGCTACACATTCTGAAATTCTTATTTTTAGAATAGAATGAGTGGTGAACTCAATTATCTAAATATACATGAAAATACACATTCCTTCAATTCACATAAATCCATTGGCTCACTACAAAATATGATCATATAATTATATTGATTCTATTTGGCCTAAAAAATTTCCAGTAGTTTATGATCGGCAAAATTTTGTATGCATCACTTTTTTCTTCTGTTGCTTGTATCGACATTAATTTTTTGACACTTCACTCGTTGTTACTATTTTTTTCGTTGTTGCTGAATTCCAAGCTTTTGACAGTCATATAATTATATTGATTCTATTTGGCCTAAAAAAATTCCAGTAGTTTATGATGGGCAAAATTTTGTATGCATCACTTTTTTCTTCTGTGGCTGAATTCCAAGCTTTTGACAAGATAGTCTGTTTTATTGGCATTTTATTAGATCACGATCTTGTAAATATTTTTTTTTATCAAGAAAATTAGAATCATAAATGAATTTTTATATCTTTATTCTTATGCATTTTTTTTAAAACAAAATTATCAGAACTCGTCATAGTCATTGGGAACCAATATTCAAAGTGTTTCTTATGCAAAGGAGCAATATCAATCGAAGATCAGTCTTCAATGAAATAAACTTGTATTTCAAAGCTTAAATTTCATATTGCATCCACCTCTGATTAACCATCACGGAGATCTTGAGAGTGAAACCCTCTATTTGTCAACCAAAAAACTTGTCTCACTTCCGATGTGCATTATATTTGTTAGGGGAATTGGTTGACTGTGAAAATATTTAAAAACTGATAAAAATGTTACAAAATGATGAAATTTAATTTTTTAACTGCTCGCTCAAATAGTTTCGAAAATCGTTTAAACATACCACTTCTTTTTAGTTCGTAACACAAAATATCTCAAGAAATTCGACTTTTCTCCTTGGCATGCAGAAATAACTCCCACTTTATTTCTTTTCTTCAATTCGCACAACTCATAAGTTGTACAAAAATATTTCCATCCTAGAAACCGCAAAGCTCACGATATCTTTTTTCTATGTTCAAAATTTAAGCCTTTGCTGCCTCCTTTGATCCTCCCAATCACATGCCTCTCTCCCATATTTTTTGCGTAATAGTCAAGATTAGGGCTTTCGAAGAAGGCAATGATTATATGTCAACATACAAAGACCTTCGAAACTATGTCGTTCGCCGCCGCCTCTCTGTTTCACACGTCACATGACTGGACAACCCCAATCTTCTCTCTTATTGAACTTCTCAGATCGAGCAAGTACAAAAGCAATGGAAGGATTGTAGTGTAGAAGGACTATTAAAAATCTCATCATCCTTCTTCTACTCTACTCTCATCTGATCCCCTCTCCTTTATTCGCTCGGAAACTAACATGATCGCCAAGACCAGTTGCACATCTCTAATGTCCCGTGCCTTCCTCAACCCTAAATCGTTATCCCAACATTTTATTTTTTTACCAAGCTCAAACAGCCCTAGCCCCTCTCCTAAACTTTGGAACCCGAGTTCGAACATCTGAAATACATTCTCCATTGCTACTGTCCGAAACCAAGAGCGAGCCTATCCCATTTCCCATTATGATTTTAAGCACAATCCAAACACCTAACTCGAAACTCATTTCCATGTTTCTTTAAACTAAAAACTAGATAAAAAAAATTGTATTTCCATTTTCATTTTGATGTTCCAACACAGTCATCACCGTCATTTTCACCAATTTCTTATGCAAATATATTTGAAGGGATGTGGGTGATTTTTTTTTGTGAAGTACCTATTCATTGTAATTTGAGTATCTGTCAAGAAAGTTAAGTACTGTTCAGGAAAAATTGTGTACTTGTTTAGAAAAAAATTATAAAAAAAAAGGTAATTCATAGAGTTAAGTTCTGTTTATGAAAAATTAAATAACTTTTTGGGGAACTGCGTGCTTTTTTTTTTATTTTTTGCGGCTTAATTGAAGACCTCTTGAGTCTTTTAGGATCGGTGGGTTAAAAATTTTTTTTCGTCTCCTAGCTGCAGTGTCTCACGACACTGATCAACGTGTCTTTGAGAACAATTGGTCCGATTGATATTCCATTGATTATCCTATGTGGCAGTAGATATCTGGAGGCTACCAAAATTTTTTTTGTGAATTTTTATTTGGAAGTAAGTTGAAATTTGGGATTATATAAACTTGTTGAAAAAACCCTAATTTTTGAGCTTGCAAAAATATTTTAATATGGTCGGTGAAGATTTTAAAAATAATTTAGGCTCCTATTATTGAAAATTAATTCCAATTAAGGATTTGATGCTTTAAAAATGATTCAAAATTGGGCTTTTCAAACTTGTGCTCATAGGTTTGTAAAGTGATTCAAATTTTTGTTTTTCGATCATAGGCTTTCAGGCTTAAAAAATGTTTCAAATTTGAAAATTATTTCAAGTTTAAGATCTTAGGCCTTGATCAATTGGATTTATTTGAATGGCCCGAAATATGTTATACTTTCTCTTGCAAATTGACTTAATATCATTGGGGTTAAGCTTAAGACATAAAGTATCATATTTATTAAATGTTAAAAGAAATACTTAATTTATCTTTTCATCTCCGGATATGGTATTTAAGCTAACAAGTTGATAGAAAGCGGTCTATCACCTATTGGAAACCTTGAAGACCAGATGAAAAATTCCTTACAAAATGTAGGTGAAATTTCTGGGTAGTGTCTTATCTGCAGCCTCATCGTACATCTGAGAATTTGGCTCGAAATACCAAATTCAATGCTCCCGCACGTTAACGTTAGAGTGTCTAGGCCGTCAAATTTTTGGAGCCCACATAGATTGATGTGTCAATAAAGTGATTTTTCTCTTCTATTGTGGGGACTTGATGTTGAATTTTCTTTTTTTTTCTTGTGGTAGCGACTATTCCGTGTCATGATGGTAAAATTTATTGGATTTCTATATTTGGCATGTGGTGGAGTTAGTGATGATGAAGGGCTTTTTGTTGAGTTTTCTTGCTTCTTATAGTAGGGATTATGCCGTATTATGATTGTAAAATTTATTGGATATCAATATTGGGCATGTGGCGGGGGGATTGGCGATGAAATTAATGTATTATGGGTGTGTGGTAGAACTGGTTTACTTCTGTTATTTTTTGAAAGATTTGATTCCAACATAAATGTGATAAATGTGTTTTTTACCTAGATATTTTCCTTTAAAGGGATTAGAAAAATGCTGCATGATCGAGGGTTGCTTACTTGTCCTTTTGTTGCAATATGCTTTCTTGAAATTATGTTGACCATTGAAACCCGCTTGTTCCCAATGACCTAAACTTTCTGATTGTTGTCTTATGTATTTGATTTGATGGGATATGAAATCCTTGTGTAAGCCAATATTTATCTCCAATTTATAACTTTACAGGACGCAACTGTCTTGTCGTCCCGATACTCCTCACCCTTAAAGTCAATAATGAAGGTTTAACAACAATAAAGTTAGATAAATAATTGAAGATAAAAATTTTTATACACCGAAAAGAAACGGAGTGCATGAGTGTAGGTAACTGTATATGTCAGTACACAAATCATAATATGCTGGAATATTATAACACGTTTAAAAGAAAAAAAAAACATTAAGTGTAGAAAATCATGTTTGCTTTATATTACATATACGTCATTTCATTCATGTGTCATGAACATTTATTCATAAGTATGTTCATAATCATAGTATTCCATCATAGAAATGTCATCATAAAAATGTCATCATAGTTATATAATCGTAGCATCTTAGCAATGTCACTTATGTAATTTATAGGCCTGATTTATTTCCATATCTTTTCATATCACATCTTAGCAATGTCACTTATGTAATTTATAGGCCTCATTTATTTCCATATCTTTTCATATCATGTGTTGTCACCCTTATTCAAAAGTCATATTAACTGTTGATAAGGGTTAACCCTTCATTATAATTGTTATCAAGACATTCTGTCATCGTCGGATCCCATCTATTCACAGGGTTTCTTCATAGCTGGAATACTAGAAGTTTTGGATATTTACTTCCATGTACTCATTTAATAGTCTACATATAACCTTATTTGTGACATTTCATAAATCATAATTCCTGCAATAAACATTCATCAGACATTTGATATATCATAAGCATGAATTGTAACAATTGAAACCTTGCAGGAAATGATTTCATAAGCATATTCTCGGTTTCATATCATCGTAAAGTCACGTGTTGTAAGGAAAATGAAATTGCATTTATTGAGGTTATTCATCTACAATATTTTGGAAATTCTAAATGCAACTGCACCCAAAATATCATCACATGAAAACCTATTGAGAATTATTATTAATAAGTTCGGACAAAATTATTTTACCTGACTATATGAAACAACCTTATTTTGTGTTCTTCCACGCTTGTTTTGAGAACTCAGCCTCTTATACACAATCAGTAAATTGTAGATATCATAGGAGTTAATGAACAACCTTATTATGAGCTCATATCTTGATTTAGGCTAAAACATAACTTATTTGTCAAAACATATCTCAAATGAGCTTTGAGTCATAAATTCACTTTCCTCGTACCACCTATTTTTCTCAACTTTTTTTCCTAACACCTGAATCATTTCTCCCCCTCGCTGATTTCGTGTTAGAAACCCTTTTGGAAGCCCACAAATCGATTTTATCTTCGCTAACTTTTCGTTGCAAACTTCAACATGAGAACAAGAGGAAGCAAAATAATGACTCAAATAACACTAAAGAGGGTTTAATACTCGCCAATTTCTCGTTGGGATCCTCTACGACGATCCGCGATAGCTATAATGCCGCTCTCCTTCTCTGTTTGCCTCAACACTATTGTAGTAGTCACTGGACACCTTCGAGCTAGCGAAATGAAGTGAGGGAAAAAGCATGGGAAGACGAAACTTAACTTAGCTCCTCTTTCTCAGCCAACCGATCGAATCCAATCATTATATGCTTTGGTAAGTGCATGAATTGGCAGGGAACAATGCTGAAGGAGAATATATAAGTAATTAATGATTTAATTATAGTTTAATTATTATTAGTTTACTCAATATCTTATAAATTTTTTCGCTTATTCCTTTTAAATTTTATATATAGTGCTTTATATTAATTTGAAGTATAGAATTTTATAAAAATAATTTTGATGACTTTCGGGGAAAGGAAAATTTTTAAATTGACCACAAATCTTTCTGGTTTTTCAAATTTTGTTTGTTACAACGGGGGTTTTCGATGATTGGAATATTGGAATAACGGAATAATGGGAGTTGCTTTATGCTAAAGGCTAAATTATTATAGACGATCATGAATTTGAAATTGTTACTCTTGTGAGCAATGTGGGGCTAGTGTCTCTCTTTTGATTTGGGAGTGTTAATTTATGTTAATGGTTTGCAGTTGTGGGATGGTTGGATGCAAATTGTTGTGCTAAAATGAGTGGAAATTTCTAAATTGTGTTCTATTTAAATTTACATTTTAAATCCTCCATGTGCAAATTTTTTGTGCTTTTTTTTTTAAAGGTTAGGTTATTTCATTACTTATACTCTTTTATGGAGTGCTTGTAATTAAGTTGTTCTTGTTATTTTTCAAATTTTTCGTCTTTACTTGATATAATCTTTTTTCACAATGTTTTTATAATCTCTAATTCTAATCAAATCCTTGGATTTTTTTCCCTTTCCTTTTCATGTTTATGTTTCTTCTTTCTCTCTCTTTGGTTTTTTATATAATTATTTTGCATAATTTTTTCTGAGTCGAATTTCTTGCTTTCTGATAAATTTTTTTATGGGTAATGCTTGATATGATTGTATTAAGGATATTTATTACTTAAAACCTTTTAGGCGATATTGATCAAATCAGTTGTAGTGATGATCGGTTGCCTTTTTGACATGGTTTTTCTTTTGGTGATCTCTTTTGTTTTAGGTGTAATTTCGTTAATTAGTTTAACTTTAAAATCTCCATGAAAGTTCACTGACCTAATGGAAAATAATTTATTTTCCTGCTTTATTGTTGCTGATTTTTTTTGTTTTTAAAATAAATGTTGCTGTGTTGAGAATGCTCAGGTGGATGAGTGGCTTTGCATTTAAGAGACCGTGTGAAACAATTATATTCTTGAAAGGTCTGGAATAGCTCCAGTGGCAGACGTGATTTGAGAGTTGCCTTGGATGGTTTGGTCGAATATAACATCAAACATTTGATAGCCTTGTTTGGAGGGTTAATGTTTTTGATTTAACTTTTGTCAAGAAAGGTAAAGTTAGGCCTGAATACAGTAGGGCATGTTTTATCAAAAATGATATTAATTTGTTTGAAATAAATGAAAATGTGACATTCAATAAGAAATGCAAAAAAAGTAATCATGTAGCCAAACCCATTTTGTGGGATAAAGCCTTGTTGTTTTTGTTGTTGTAAATCTTTTTTCTCAGAATATTTTATGAGTCAAATTATTATTTACTTGACATATCTTTGAGGGTTGTTCTTGAAATTTTTTGTCCTCCGATGTACTTCAGAAATTTTTATAATTTCTGTCATAAAAATTTTGTAATTAAGTTCCTTCTGATTCATACTCTGGATGATTCTCATTATTTGGTTTAATTTTATTCCAATAAATTTTATTTTTTGAGCTATGACCCGTACAGTTTAATTAATATCTGTATTCTTGTTTCTTCTGTCTTTCTTGCATAATTTTATTTTCTGGGTTCCTTTATCCTGTGTCCTGCGTTTTAAATAAGTCATTCGCTTATGACACCCTTGGGGCTTCTTCTGTTTTATTCAATTATTAATTATATTGGGTTAAAATTGGTTTGTGTTGCTTTTATTACATTTTTTTGTTTCTTCAGTAATTTTCTCTTTTAATTGCTTGCTGAACCAAGTATTCTTTTTCTTCTCCGGAGATTTCTGTTGTAATCTTTTTAGTCAACATTGTATCAGTTTGAATTAGTTAATCCGTTTTATGTAACGTGTTTTTCATTTGCTATTATCAAGTCCTTGGCCATTTTTGTTAAATTAATTTTAGGAATTCGTTTCCTTTCCACTTTTATAAGCGTGGGTGTTGTTTTCATCAAATGTATTTATGGCTGCGAATGCTCTTTTTTTATTTTTTTTTTGTTTTATTTGTTGTATCTCCTTTTAACGTTTCCTTTCCACTTTTATAAGCGTGGGTGTTGTTGTCATCAAATGTATTTATGGCCGCGAATGCTCTTTTTTTATTTTTTTTGTTTTATTTGTTGCATCTCCTTTTAGTGTGTTTCTCAGAGTTTGAGCCTTCCAAACTTTGTTGAAGCTATTGTCTTTTCCTGTTGCAAAAATTTTGGATTAATTTACTGCCGCATGTTATTTTTTCGTCTTTTTGTTAACTTATTAGAAGTCTTGTGTTAAAATTGTTGAAATTTCGGCCTTTTTGATGTAAGTTGTTGCGCCAATTTTTTACTGTTAATATTATCATATTGCATTTTATGTCGCTAACAGGTTAGAGATTTTACTACAGATTCTTTGGAATGGACAGATATTGCATTGACATTTATTAAATATATTTTTTATAATTTTGCTGATGTACTGTAGCAAAGGTATTTCCATTGTTGGAGCTCGGAAAGACCTTTTGGCGGGCATTGTCCTCCCAGAAATTAGAAATTACTCTTAATGAGTTGCAAAATAATTTATTAATTATTAATAAGTTGTGTTCCCCTGCGCTGCCTCCCTTGTCCGCATGTCCTTTCATTTTATATCTAAGAAAAATATTTAGAAATACTTAGTTTTTGATGCAAGAGATTTGCCTTCTCTGAAAAATGTGACTAGTTATGCCGATGGAAATAGGGTAGCAGTTCAATGCTTTTGTGATCCATTTTTATGGATGACTGCTTTCATGATTGATTTGAAAATTCTCTCTCCTGAAGCCTTGATAGAGTTTGCTATTCGTACGGCGATAAATATTTTGAGCGACACATTAAGTTTAAAATGTTGGATCAGTTATGATTATTTTGATAGTTCGTGCTAGCTTTTGTATTTTTTATTCTGGTTGAGCGTTGCTTGCATTGCTATTGTGTTCAAAGGAAGGTGCCATAAGGCTGATGATTCACTGAGGTATGTAAAAAAATTTGAAGGAAAATAAAAAAAGTTTGCATTTCTTGTGTGGATATTAATTTCTTATTTTTAATATGTTGAACTTAGATTAGTAGAGCTTTGAAAAGCTGGGAATTTCATATATCTCTGTACATTGAACGTGCCCTCTTAAAAGACTATTCACTGAGGTATGTAAAAAATTTGAAGGAAAATAAAAAAAGTTTGCATTTCTTGTGTGGATATTAATTTCTTATTTTTAATATGTTGAACTTAGATTAGTAGAGCTTTGAAAAGCTGGGAATTTCATATATCTCTGTACATTGAACGTGCCCTCTTAAAAGACTATTCACTGAGGTATGTAAAAAATTTGAAGGAAAATAAAAAAAGTTTGCATTTCTTGTGTGGATATTAATTTCTTATTTTTAATATGTTGAACTTAGATTAGTAGAGCTTTGAAAAGCTGGGAATTTCATATATCTCTGTACATTGAACGTGCCCTCTTAAAAGACTATTCACTGAGGTATGTAAAAAATTTGAAGGAAAATAAAAAAAGTTTGCATTTCTTGTGTGGATATTAATTTCTTATTTTTAATATGTTGAACTTAGATTAGTAGAGCTTTGAAAAGCTGGGAATTTCATATATCTCTGTACATTGAACGTGCCCTCTTAAAAGACTATTCACTGAGGTATGTAAAAAATTTGAAGGAAAATAAAAAAAGTTTGCATTTCTTGTGTGGATATTAATTTCTTATTTTTAATATGTTGAACTTAGATTAGTAGAGCTTTGAAAAGCTGGGAATTTCATATATCTCTGTACATTGAACGTGCCCTCTTAAAAGACTATTCACTGAGGTATGTAAAAAATTTGAAGGAAAATAAAAAAAGTTTGCATTTCTTGTGTGGATATTAATTTCTTATTTTTAATATGTTGAACTTAGATTAGTAGAGCTTTGAAAAGCTGGGAATTTCATATATCTCTGTACATTGAACGTGCCCTCTTAAAAGACTATTCACTGAGGTATGTAAAAAATTTGAAGGAAAATAAAAAAAGTTTGCATTTCTTGTGTGGATATTAATTTCTTATTTTTAATATGTTGAACTTAGATTAGTAGAGCTTTGAAAAGCTGTCAAATTTTTTTTTTATTATGGCCTTAAATAGGGGAGTGCATATTAACAATCGTCGTATAATGTAAAAAACTTCTAAAGATATTTTATATTTAAATTATATGTTTCATAAAAATTTTATATAATCACCGATAATCCTTACCTTCAGAAGTTTTCTAGGAGCATTAGGCTAACGATAAACTTGCTCCTTTTCCTTTTCTGAAAACCAACATTGTAATATTTGGAGAGTTATACGTGTAGTGATATAATTAATGCTAAGAAATAATTTAATATACAAAATGATACAGCGTGCATATGACATTTGTTTAGAACTCGTTGGCTTCTTGTATAAATAATGCTGTAATAATCAATTTCTTTAAATGTAATGAGTTTTTTAAAACTTTCAAGGAATATTTAGTTTTGTTCAAATGAAGTACCAATTCAAATCTTGACTGAAAGGAGTTTGCCTCATTCAAAAATTCGAAACTTGGCACCGTTATTACTTCTTTTCTTCCCTATTATACCCAAACAAGCTTGGTGTTTAATTCCGAAGGTTACCCACTGAATGAATATAATGAAATTGTATAAACTTAGTGTCACGATATGTAGATATAATTATTATTATTTTTACATATATTCTTACTGCCATGTACCTCTGCGTCCTAACTTTTCTTCGCGTTGCTTCACCTAGCTTCAGTTCATGATTTCAAAGAATATGGGTTATTTGTTAGGTATAAATGTTTAAGTATAGATATATCTATTTATATATTAATTTACTTTTACGTACAATTTTCTTTGAAAACCCAATAAATTAATTCTTGCTCATTGATTTTCTTTGCTTTCTTTTTCTTTAATTTGGTCTTTCTCCTCTTCTTGTTATCCTTTATGTTTGAGCTCACGCATAACAACCTTGGAGTTGCTTTGATTGCTTTTCCTCTTTTTATTGTATTTGTACCCAGATCTCCTTTCGGAGAAGATATACAAACAAATTAATCTATTTTTGTATGTTTTTTTATTATGTTAACCTGAAATGACTCCTTACAATTTCAATCCCCCTTTAGTCTGTAAATAGTAATCAGAAATTGCTCTCTGCATAGTAATCAGATTTTTTTCTTAATTTTCAAGCTTTAACATGAACAAATTTTTGTAAAGAATTTTTTATTTTTTCTTTTCTTGTACATCATTGTTTTACTATCGAATATATTTATTCATAAAATCTTTTATTTTTTATTCTCTACGCGTCATCTTTCGGATATATTTTTTTTAATTTTCAAGCTTTAACATGAACAAATTTTTATAATCAATTATTTATTTTTTTCATTTTTTGCACATTGTTGTTTTACTATCAAATATATTTATTCATAAAATCTTGTATTTTTATTCTCTTTTTTTGCCATTTGCTTGGTAGTATTGATTATTTTATCTTGCATAAAATTTGTTTTGTCATGAGTTTGCTAAATTTTTAAGTTCTTAGAAGTTACTTATAAATTTAATTTTGGTTGCACATTTCAAGTGCTCCCTTCAAATTCTTTTATAATATTTCATTGTATTTTTTATTTTTCAATCTTTCATCTTAAAATTCAAAATCAATATTTGATGTTAGGTGCTTCAAAATTTTTTTGGGAATTACCTCACCTTCTTAGCAATCCCAAGAATGTATTTTTCTCTTAATAAAATATTAAGTTTATGTTTTGTTAGATTCATTCTTATATGTGGTATTATACTAATCTCTTTTCTTAAATAAAATATTAACAATAATAAAGTTATAAGCTTATATATAATCAAATATGTCTATCTTTTTTATTAGTCAATCCAAAATCATGACCATCGTGAATACTATCAAAATTGTTTACCACTTTCAGAATGACATGATTTTTAATTTCCATGCTTTTATTGTCTCTTTTTGTTCTTTTAGAATAACAGGATCTAAATAAAAGGGTCATAGACTCCTTGACAAACCTTGCTAATACATGTAATACTTTTGAACTCTGTTGGATGTTTAACAAGTTGAATATGGATATTTAACAGTTGTTTGTTGGATCGGGAGACATTTGATTTCACCACTACTAAACCCCATGAAAAGTATTACATTTCCCGCACATTGCAGTTAATCTTTTTTATATTCACAAAGTTATCAAATATGATAACTGCAAAATATTATTTTTTTATTGGTTATTGTGTTTTCCCACAGGTTGCAGTTAATCTTTTTAGAAATACAAACATTAAAGACTTTCATTTTGAAACTCATAAAATTGTTAAACATTATCGTTTCTGCTTTTATTTTAGTAACTCTAAATCTTCTTGTCGTTTTGTGTTAGTTCATTTTAATATAGAAGGAACCTTTAAAACTCATCGTATCTCTGTATTTATTTTTGAATGCACTTGAATAATGAAATTATATTTAATTAAGAAGTTTTCAATGTTAGCACCATACTCTTTATATTCTCTGTGATGATGAAAAATTAATTTAACTAACATCATTTTTTATTCTCGACAGATAATACTCATGATTATTTTAATCACACATTAATATCATTCTTTCAAAAAGAGGATGTTATTCACTAATATGTATGAGCCTGCACTCCAGTAAAATGGAGTGACAAAAAAGAAAATCAATAGGTTTCTTTTCTACCCAATCAAAGACACTCGTCTAACACAATCAAATATCAAAATAATATTAATATTTGTTCAATCAACAAAATACTTTCGAGAGTATTTTTGAAATTTTTTTTAAATAATTCAAGAGGGTTTCTTTTTTACAATCAAGTTCTCAATCAACAAAATACTTTCGAGAGTATTTTTGAAAATAATTCAAGTGGGTTTCTTTTTTACAATCAAGTTTGGTTTCTTTTTTACAATCAAGTTCTTAAAGATATAAATAATTTTTGGATGCATTACTTATGTTTATATCTCTAAGCAATACGAGAGAAATTTGACCGATAGACATTTAAATGTGTTGTTTGGATATTCAACTATATCAAAAAAAGGTGCAAATGTTATCATCCACTCAAAGAAGGTTTCTCATTTCAATGTATGTTAGTTTTGATTAATGATATAACTTATTCGCTCAAGCTCATGTTTAGGCGGGGACTTTTTATCTTGATGATAAATTTGATAATCTTTTTCATCTTTGGTCTATATAAGTATGGCAAACTTAACCAATATTTCCTTTGAGTTCATCTCATTTAGATTGTTTGAGGGCACCTATTTTGTTCTGCAGAATAGCATGACTTGCGGTGTTCCTGTAAGAGTTATTCGCGGGCATGATTCGACCAGCAGTTACTGCGGAAAAGTTTATACCTATGATGGATTATACAAGGTAACATTTAGAAGGATTGCTTACTGTTATTTGCGCATAAATGTTTCTTTTTATAATGCATTTGATTTTGTCGCTTGATATTCCTTTTAATTTTATTCCTATCAGTTGTATATCTATTAGAAATGTACATCGTGCAGACAGTTTTTAAGCAATTTTTGTACTATATTATTTTGTTTGTGGCACTAAACTAGGGCGATTAATTGAGGTAGGAAGGTTTGGCAATCGGTTAGAAGTGTGTTAGGACTAAAATGGTCGTGCCTGTGGCGGAAGCCTTTAATGGGTAACAGATATGATCACTTTTGCGGCTGAAATCTGCTTTGGGATAGCAAACTCAAGTAGTTTGATGGCTCTTCAGTGGAAAACAACGGGTGAATGGTGAAATGTTGAGTTGCGGACGTCCCGGGTGATCAACTAAAAATTCCTTAGCAAGCTGCATGCAGTGTTTGAGGTTGTTCTATTATGATATATATGGTCATGTCTAATCCATGCAACTCTAAAACCCATGGAATCCGATGCTTATCCTGATTGAATAGATTGACATTATGTTTTGAACCAGTAAGAGGTGAATTTCATGTAGAGGTTGTTGGTATAGTGAGGGATGTGGTAGGAGGCTTATAAGTTGAAATCTGGATTGAACAGCGGGATGACGACAAATTGGCAACATAAAGTAGCTGTTCTCTTCTTTTAAACAATAAAAAGCAGTAGAGTGGTTGATGAGGTAGGTGTACAAACGTCCAAGAGAGATAACTATTTCGATCCTTTCAGGCCCATGCACACCACGAAAGAAATCTAATGATACATGACTCTAATAAGAAAATAAGGACAAATCCTCTCTAAATAACATAAAAATAGCCAAAAGTCACCCAAAATTGAATAATAAAACAAATATGTTCTCATGCTAGAAAGAAATCCTAATTAGAAGAAAGTATTCATAAAGAAATTAGAAAGACTAATCCTAACGATATGCTTCTTATTCTGTCTTGTTGCTCTATCTTGAAAATTTTGCAAATTCGTCAAACAGGATGAGAGTTGTTCTCGGATTGCCATCATGTTGTAATATTTCTTCTAAGCGGGAGGATCTCGCGGAATTCTGTCGTGCGGGGGTGGATGGGCGCTCAACATCATAAAATCCTTTGTGATAATTAGTGGAGTTTCATGTGAGGAAATATTTTTGCAGAATGTTTTAATTATAATGTTTGATGTTCAATGATAATATTTACTATATTAATCAGACTTTTTCATGCTAACATAAGGCCGTTTTTTTATGCTCGTCTCTTAATTTTATTTATTTGTTAATAAAATTAATTATAATGTTTGATGTTCAATGATAATATTTACTCTATTAATCAGACTTTTTCATGCTAACATAAGGCCTTTTTTTAATGTTCATCTCTTAATTTTATTTATTTGTTAATAAAATTATCCTATTATTGTTCTTTTTGAACTCATATTTTCTGCACTGATGATTAAATTTCCACTTTTTATGTATGTTCATGAAGGTTATTAAATCTCCATGATTGATTTGGGTTTGGTTTTGCTTTTTTTTTTTAAACAAAAGAGTCATTGTAACATAAATTGAATCTTTAGATTTTCATGGCTTAATTTTTTATGTTTGCCCCAGATTGGATTGTCTCTAATATAGGTAGAGATTCGAGCAGATCTCAAAAAGAATGAGGGGTATTTATTAAGCATGATTGGATCAGTGCTTCATTATGAGCATGCGACCAACATTCCTACTGTAGATCTGCAAGGATGGAGGGAGTTAATGTTTCTCGCCTAGATGGTGGAAGATAAGAACCAGATGAAGAAGTCCAGTAAAGGCTATTGCACTGGAGGATTCCAAAACAGTACCTCGACGACCATGTCATCAAGGACCTTGATGGTCTCTTTTAGGAAGGTTTCGCCGAAGGAGAGGAAATCATGGGGCCGTCCTATGGTCAACTTTTAGTATCTCATAGAGACGAACGTGCAAGATAAGACTGCTAATGTTTTGATGTGATGAAAAGTATGCCCCAGGCCACCGGTGCAAGTTTCACATGCTTCCGGTCCTTTTTGTTTGCGAGGGGTAAGGAGGCAGATTATGAGGAGTCAGAGGAAGAAACGGTGGAGGGAGTGAAGCACATGCAATTGAATGTAGCGGAGGTGTCCCTGAACTTATTAATGAGATTAACTTCAAATCACTGCTTGAATGTGAGGGGATTGATCACATTGCAGGTAGTGGTGTTGGTGCATAATCGGGCCACTCAAAACTTCTCGAATTGAGTTGAAAATGAGTTCGGGTTGGTGTAAGTGTGGATGCGAGAATTTTTGGGGTTATGATCGGATAAGAAAGGTGGAGAAAAGCCGAGAAATTTTCAGGAGATTTGTGTTGAGAGTAGGTCATAGAAATGGTGAACTTTTCTTTCCTTGGACTTGAAAAATACTTAGATGATTTTGAGGATGAAGTGGCTACAGATAATCGGGGAGATGAGGGCGGTTTGGTAATCCCGTACTATAGAGATGAGGGTTAAGGTTAAGGTGGTGCTTTACTTTTACCCCAATTTGTGCAAGTCCTTGGAGTCGCGGATCCATCGACGGTGATAACTCTATTGGAGTAGTAACTATCTAAGAATTAAAAGTTGTTGAGGCAGTTTATGGGATTTATATGATACAATCAGAAGCCCTTTTAGTGTGGTAGTTTGATTGTGGATGTCCACGATGATATTAAAGAAATTAGTGGAGGTGGCGATCCAAACTTTTGAGAAATTAAAGAAAGCAATGATGAGAGAATCAGTGCTAGCGACGAGAACCAGACCCAAGCAATTTTTTAGCTTGTGTCACACGACTTGATCCAGCAATTGTTTTGTTTTTTGCCACCTTGAGGACATGTGTCTTTTTCAGAGATGCGTGATTTATGGCTCTACATAAGGGCAATTTAGCCTTTTGTGCGCCTAGGGACAATTTAGTCTTGAGTATTTATATTTATTGCAAGTGTTTATCTTTATATATTCTGAATTGTAATCGTTGATTTGCTTTTGGTGGCATAAAATATATTATTTATTTCCCAATTTCTGTGGAAAAACCTTCTTGCATCGTATAAATATTGTTGCCTGGTATGTTCATATATTAAGAGTAAAGATTGGAAACGATATTGTTAGCTTAGTTTGTGTTTCTCAATCATTGCTTCTTTTTCTTACCTTTTTATTACATGAGAATAATGTACTTGAACTTAATTTTTTTATTTGAAAATTATTGATGATTTAAGCTTCTTTAGTTTGGAGAATCTATTAGTACTCTTTTTTTAATTGTTGGTAAAGGTTTCAAATATTTTGTTGCTTAAAGAAGTATAATGAAAATGGACTGATTTTTTTTTCATTCAATGGGTTTAATAATTTTTTGGCTATGCTTGATGAGGATCATAATGGTTTGGATGTCTGTATGTTTGGCTGCTCTATTTTTTTGCAAATTCGTCAAACAGGATGAGAGTTGTTCTCGCTTTGCATGTCTGTATGTTTGGCTGCTCTATTTTTGGATAAATATTATTCTTTTAGCTTCCTGTTATTTTCATTCAATGTATTTTTTTACTTTATTTTTTTAAAACTTTTATCCCGATTATTATTGCCTTAATTAACTCTGCTTCATCTAGGTACCAGCAATCATAATAGACTTCCATTTTTTTTTTTCAATTCTTGCTGCCGCAGTGATCGGTGGCTTTATTTATCTTTGCCATTAATTGATGGACTATTAGAATGATTCGGCCTACTCTGCATTTTTTGGGCATTGTAATTATTAGTGAATTTGTTTGTTTATTTTTAGAATCCCTCCTAGAATTGTTTAAATGCTACTCATATGTTTGGATGAAACAGTTCATCAGTTTTTGATAGTAAAATTTCTAATAAACGACATTAGTAGAATTTTGACCTGAACAGTTCATCAGTTTTTGATAGTAAAATTTCTAATTAACGACATTAGTAGAATTTTATTGACCTTTTAATTTTGGGTTGGTTTAACAATATTATTTGCATGAATTGAATTTGTATTGTCTTAGTGATGATGCTTGGCTGCTGATGTTGAATGTTTTGTGGGTTTTTGTAGCATTGCCTCCTTGGTGCTATTCACACATAGGCTGGAAATCCCACTCGCTTCATATTGCTCCAGCGTTTTTGGTCCTTTTCTCAATGTTCTTTTTGCACATTTGCCGAAATCATGTTTTTCTTCTTACTGTTTGTTTCTTTATTTCCTTCCTTCTTATTTGCTCGTTGTTCTGCTTACTATTAAAATTTGCGGAAGAATTTTTATTGCTTGCACCTTTTTCATTGTACCTTACAACCACTATATATAATAGCATGGCCTGCATACTGATCCTCAAAATAGGGAACTTGAATCCTTTTATATTAGGAATCTCGCCAAATAGGAGCAACATAACATAGGAAAATATCTAATGAAAAGGAAACATAAGTAATGAATTGTTTTGTGGATGAAATTAAATTTCTTCCTAATCATGCCTATGGATTGGCACCGTCGTACACCATTTCAATTTTCTTCTTGAATCTACCGCCTTTGTCATTGAGCTTCTTTGAACTCCCCAACAGGTCGCCTGTTCCATCCACAGTGCAATCTTTTGCATCTGGTCATACTCACCTTGACTAATGTAGTTGGTTTGTTGAATGATAAAGTTGGGTCAGCTTTATCAAATATTCCTATTCCCTCTGTAATAAGTTTTCTTCCACACTCTTGGGCAAATTTAGTTTTTGTTATTTAATGAGATCGTTTGGCTTGTGAGGCCTCTTTGTTTTTCTATTATTGAGAAATTATTTTTGGGTTGTTGGTTTATTAAAATGGAGATTATTAGCATTCAACTGAGCTCTTTGGTCTCCAATTTTATAATTTCTAAAATTTTTTCTGAAGGTGGATGCCCCAAGCTTTTTTTCCGCTTATTTTTTTATATCAGTGCTTTCTCAATATGCATGCTTAATTGGTGGCTGCATTTTGACCATTCACAGGACTTTGCAATCAGGTTATTCGTTTCAGTTCTTTTCATATATCTATTTTTCATGTTCCTTATTTTAATCCACTTCAGGCCGAATTAAAAGTTTGGCTATCGGCATTTTGTTTTTTTAATGTCTTATTCTTTCCATCATTGTTGTCATTTCTCAAATTTGATTTTTAACTTTGTGCCCAATGATTTTTTTTTGTTGCTTTAATACTTTAGTTTTTTGCAGGTCATAAAGTATTGGGCAGAGAAAGGTGTTTCAGGTTTCACAGTTTTTAAATATCGCCTTTGCCGGCTTGAAGGCCAACCCACACTAACTACTAACCAGGTTCTTGCTTATTATTTTTGCTGTGAAATTCTTAAACAAACCTTTTTGTTTATAATTGTGGTAACTTTTTTTTTTAAATCTTCTGGTGCATAATTTTTTACGTAGTTATAAATTTGTTAGTTATGTTTTTATGGCGTGGCACTTGGTTAGATACTATGAGTGCCTTTTGCGATTCTGGGTTTTGTTGGTGTGGGTGATATGAGTATCTTTTACCCTATATTGTAAATTGAAATCGCTTTTTCTAATGATGCAGTATTTATTATCGTAAGTGGTTTTTTTTTTTTTTTTTTTGGGTTCCACATGTGATGTGAAGTGAGAATCATTTGGATTTTCTTTTTCGATCATATGGCTGGGATGGCCAAACTTTTTCAATTAGTTTCTCTGCAGGTCTTTTGCATTGCTTTTACAAAAACTAGTAATAAGCTAAATTGAGTTATAATTCCTATTCGACCAACCAATTACTTTTGGCAAGGCTTGTAAATGCATCACTTCTTTTCCTCTCGGGCAACCTAGCATACCTTAGGGTTACTGTTCAAATAGATGTCGGACAATGCTTCTTATTTATTTGCTTTTGTACAATCATTAAACTTTGCTATGAGTTGCTTGCATCTCTTCCAAGGGAATTTCAGATTTCGTAGTGTGCTTGGATGCTTTCTTATGATCAACTTCATTGCTTGATAGTTTATTCTATAAAGGATTGGTCTATTAGCACGCATGCCTTTTAAATGGTTGCTTTTTAGTCTATTGGATGTTTACCTTTGTGTTGGGTTGATTGCTCAATAGTTCGTTAGTATTTCAATTGTATGTTAACCTTTATGTTTATCTTTTTGTGGGGTTAATTGGTCAATAGTTCGTTAGTATTTCAATCTTTAATATATAATTTATTTTTTTCCTTTTTCTTTTATTTTTAAGAAAAAAAATCAAAGAATCGTTTCTTATTTATGTAAGCATAAGTAATGTGAATATTGGAGAGAATATTATCCTTGGAATGCGGGTTATGCTTGTTTTTTTGGAATGTTTTTTTATGGATATCTTGTGAATAAATTATAAGAATGATTTTTTTCCATATAAACTGAGGAAATTGGCCATGTTCTCCACTTTTGTTGGAACTCATATCTTGAATATAATTTTGTAGTTTTGTCAAATGGAATGTCTCATTTCCACAATATAGCCCTCATAAACTCATAATCACCAACATTGAAAATTGTTGATTGTTTTGCCAAATTATCGCTGCATTTTTTGTTAGTTTGACAAAAGTTCTTGTTTAACAGTAACAATCTTTTTGTTATCATAATCGCATTTTGATTCTTAAAGTGTATATAAGAATCTTGGTGCACATCATCTTGATCTCAGAATGTTAAATGACTACAAATTGTTTCAATTTTTTTTGATCGGAGGGTCAAATTGAGTTTTTGGGTCAACTTACGGGTTGAGTTGAAATTTACTTGAACTTAATCCAAATATAAAATGGTTTAGAAAGATTAACTTGAAATTGTTTCGCTTTCAACTTGACTTATCTGAATCGAAACCACTGAATCAGTCGAACTTGAGCTTATGAAATATTCTTGACAAATTTGGGTCAAATTTTGTTGTCGGGTGTAATTTTAGTTATGGAGTAAACGCGAACCGAATATTTCATGCTCCTCATCAATAATCATATATAGATAAACTCATACGTGTAAGAAATTGATTTTTTTTTTTGCAACCAGAACTTTGAAAAAAAAAGATTAATTGGGTGAGTTTTGAGATTTTACTAATATTCTTGACAAATTTGGGTCAAATTTTGTTGTCGGGTGTAATTTTAGTTATGGAGTAAACGCAAACCGAATATTTCATGCTCCTCATCAATAATCATATATAGATAAACTCATACGTGTAAGAAATTGATTTTTTTTTTTTTTGCAACCAGAACCTTGAAAAAAAAAAGATTAATTGGGCGAGTTTTGAGATTTTACCTGTGTTGGAAGCCTCTATTTATGTCTTCAGCGGGGGTCGCTGCAACTTAAGTTGGAGAAGGGGGAGCCGAGCTTCGGTATTTTAGCGCAGAGGAGAAGCGAGCAGGTGAGTGCTTCAGTGTAGATAAAGTAGTCGGGCGTGAGGAAGAAGAGACGAATGCTTTCGGTGCAGAGACGAGATCAAACCGAAGGATGATGCTTCAGTGCGTGAGGGAGGAGCCGAGCGGGAGGAAGAAGAGTCAAATGCTTTCGGTTCGTGAGGGAGGAGTCGAATGGGTGTTTGGCGTTCGAAGGGGTGAAGGAGGCGTTCGGTCGAAGAGAGGAAGAGGCGAGCGGGGGTCTTTGTGCCGAGGTGAGAAGGCGAGCAGAGGTCTTTGTGCCGAGGTGAGAAGGTGAGCGGGGGTTAGCCGAGGAGGGTGAGTGAGAGTGAGGAGCAGGCGAGTGGGGGGCCTTCGGTCGAGTGAGAGGAGGAAGGCAAGACTGTCGTGCTCGAGAAAAAAATAGGCTAACGGGAGAAGAAGATCAAATCGCAGCTTTTCTGTGAAGGTCGGGAGAGGATCGAGTAGGGGATGAGAGAGTTCGGTCGAGCGAGCTCGAGAAGATGGGGAGGCGAGTGGCTTCGGTGCGTGGGGCAGAGAGTGGAAGAAGCGAGCGTTTCTGTTCGCAGAAGGAGTGGGTGAGGCGAGCGGGAGAGGAAAGTGCGCGAATTGAATTGTATAGCCGAAAATTTCAGAGCCGTTACACGAAGCAACCACCTCAATTGAAAAATCCAAATTCTCAATTTAGGTGAGATTAAATGTCAAATTTGAAGTGCAAAAATTTAAAATTCAAAATGTTTTACCCTTAATCAGCCCAGTCCAACATGAATCAAATCCGAGTTGAACCTGGGTTGAGCCCGGGCCCGCGCCCGCTAAAAATGGGGTGCATCGATTTTTTGTGTCGTTTGTGCGTGCACGTAACCCTAGCAATATGGGTGTCCTTCCCGACTAGAATTAACGTTCCGGACGCGACCATGCAGTCTGTTTCGTCCTTCGGGGTCGTTCAAACAAGTTTGCCGACGGTCGGGCCAAAAATGTGTCAACTTCGTGCGTGGTGTAGCGAGTGCGTTGCTGAGTCACGGAGGGTTCACCTAAGGCCGTCTGATCCTGTAGGAACTCATATTCGGGCCCTCTACATGCTAGTCCTTAGTTCTTCACAAAATGAGTCAAGAAGTGATTTGAAGTTCTATGGGAGGTGGGCTCTATTACTAGTCTGTGAAGATGGTCAACAAGGAACTCCTAAGGCTAGATTTTGGGTTCTGGGAGTAGGAAGCTAAGACCTCACTAAAAATGAGGTCAACACGTTGTCGACATAATTTGATACATATTACAACACTCATTTGTAGATCATGTTATTGTAATGTGATTTTATTTGTTGATCATGTTATTTTATCTAGATTACTTGATTTTTATTGATCATGTTATTGTAATGTGATTTTATTTGATAAATAGAGCACTTAAGTAGTTTTTCCCAATAAAATTATTTTAAAATTGCTTAAAATTAAAAATTTTAACTTTCATTTCGTCATTAGACACTTGTATGATTATGAGCAGCAAAATTATTTAGTGTTTTTCCTGTAATTTGCTATTGTAGTACATTAATTGTGTTGCATTTGAATAATTTATTTTTTTTCACTACAGAATTAAACTTATGAATGTTATCTTCTCTTATGGTTTTTTAGATAAAATTTATAGTATTCGTTTATCATTTCTATGATTGATAATGCTTGGGTTGGTTTGTTTGAAAGATTAACGTACGTATTATTATTTTTTTCTTAATCCGCTTTTAGCTTTTTCAATTTAAGGTTAATTACTCTTTTTGGCCAAAGTTAAAGTTTGGGCTGCAGTATGGAGGCCTTATTTTAATGTTCATCCTAGTCTTTTATTTGTTATTTTAAAGGATATTTTTTACACATATTTGGTGTCATGCTAGAATTTGTAGATGATAAGTTTTGATCCATTTCAATCTGTTTTTTGTTTCTTTCATTTTTTTTTGTGCTTGCGATGTTTTTGTCTTTGTTTGTGAAACATCTCAAGGATTTTTTTTTTTTTAATTTTTAATATCCTTTTGTCTGTTTGGTTTTGTTTATGTTCAAGCCTCTTTTTTATTTCTTGTATCAGATTTGTGCGTTTTATCAAGTTTTTAAAATCAATGATCAATATTCAACTTGACTTTTAGCTACTGTTGTAATTTTCTTCAGGTTTGTTTTTTCTCATGGTACTCTACAATATATATTTGCATATTATTTTTTTAACGTTGACATATGAAATTTGTTGTGCCGTTTTCCTCTGCATCCAGCTTTAATTTGTAGGCAAATTTACTAATTTTAAGTGTTTATGCCAATCTTATACGTACTGTTTAATCATGTTAAAATGCTGATTGCCTTAACCGGTACCTCTCGTTTTTTTTTTCTGGATAGAATAATTTTTTGGTTCTAATTTGTTCCTTATGTAAGTTTCAAGTATCTGGTGTAGAAAATGAATATTCTACTTGCGCTAGTTGCTCAAAAATAGCAAATTATCTAAGCAACACTTCAAAGAAGTTAATACTTTTTATTAGAGGCAAGAACATCGTTTTTCAAAATGTTTTGTGAAAGGCTGTCTTTATAATCTTTTAGTATGCCAAGGTGATGCAAATTTTGATGATACTAGGTCCAATTTGTTGGTCTAGAATTGAGAGAATTTTTTCTGAATTCTGTCCGTTGGAGCAGCATAATGGATGGAAATAATAAACTTGATTTAATTGGAATCTGTTCAAAAATAACTTGCGGTTAGCGGCAAATATTTTGAGTTGGTGGCCGCGGCATGAAATATAGGCTGGAGATAGCTGGAGGATTTTCTGGATTGTCTTGTTGGTGTGAAATTTGTAAGACATGAAGTAAACTTCTAAATTATTTGTGTTTATTTTTTTCTGTAAAGTGCTTGAGCATTCATATTTGTTCTTCAATTTGGCTTGAATTCCATCCTATTTTAATAGCTGGTTTGTTCCCTTTTTTTACTTGCCTCTTGTAGTACATAAGAAATTGTGAGCTGCTTTCAAAAGTTTGAGAAGTCAAACCCCATCTTAGTAGGAGTTTGAGAGCAATTTGAGTTGAGTTTGAGTCGGCCTCAACTCAGGCTTGGACTTGATTTAATTAATCGAGTTCAAGCTCGAGCTCGAGCTTTATTCTTCGAGTTCAAGCTGGCTCACAAGCTGCTTGATTAATATCAAAGAGAGAAATAATATTAATTTGAACTTGTGATATAATAAAATGATAGATAAAATGAACTTTAGGAGCTAGATATTGTTTGTAAGACAAGATTGTCTAATTGGTGTGAAATTTGTAAGACCGGAAGTAAGTTACTAAACTATTTGTGTTTATTTTTGCTTGTAAAGTGCTTGATTTTAAGGTTTTTTTTTTATTTTAATGATTTTGTGAGCATTCGACTTTATTGTTCAAATTTTACTTGAAAATTTTCACTTCGAATTTGGCCTGAATTCCATCCTATTTTAGTAGCTGGTTTGGTCCTTTTTTTATGTGCATGTTGTAGATATAAGAAATTGTGAGCTGCCTTCAGAAGTTTAAGAAGACAAATCGCATGTCTTAGGAATAGTTTGAGAACAAGTTGAGTTGAGCTTGAGTTGGCCTCGACTTGTGCTTGGACTTGATTTAATTAATCATGTTCAAGCTCGAGGTCGAGCTTTATTTTGAGTTCGAGTTGGCTCATCTGCTACTTGATTAATATTCAAGTGAGAAATAATATTATTTTGAACTAGTATTATAGAAAAATGATGAATAAAATGAACTTTAGGAGCTTGATAAAGATAAATTATTTGATATAAAATTTATAATATCATTTTTTAAATATTTTTAATTATTTAAAGATAAAGTCTTAAAATTTGTTATAATTTTTCTATTTTTTTATATTTTTTATCTTTTAATCGGGCCTGCTCATGAGCTAACAAATCAAGTCATGGCTTACTTTTGCTTGGCTTCTTATATGATTGATCTCAGTTTACGAGGAACTTATTGTGCCGAGCCCAAGAGGGCTCACATGTTTCGGCTTAACTCAGTTACACTTCCATTTAGCAATGATCTCCCGTTAGCAAATGTTTATTGAGCTCGCCTTTGTGGCTATTATTCTGGCATGTAATTTAACGACTAAGGTCGAAATATGGCCTTAACTCAGTGGGCATTTTTATCTAGATTTCCTTTTGTTTATGTTTTTTTTTTAAGGAACTAAAATTTTTTTTTCACTAGATATTTGACAACTTTAAATTAGAAAGTTGCTCGTTTCACTTTCTTTTAATTAACATCTCAGTTATCTTTCAGATTTTATTCGTCGACGTTTCATTTTTTTTTTCAATTTTTTTTTTAAACATCTCAGTTATCTTTCAGATTTTATTCGTCGACCTTTCATTTTTTTTTTTTCAATTTTTTTTTTTTAATTTAATATTTAACTCTTGGAACGTTTTTAGTCTTTCTATCAGGGCCATTAATTCTTTATTTTCCCATTCTGTTTCCTTTAGTAGGTGCAGAGATGATCTGTTATAGATGGCTAATATTTTAGTTGAATTAAAGTTATTTGAAGTATAATAATAGTTTTGATGTATGGTTAAAATACTTTTGAAAGTTTTTTTGTTGATTTTATTCAGTTCATATTTATGTTTGCGTTTGGGCACTATTTTTCTTTTTGGTGAAGACAGTGTATATGACTAACTACAATTTATTCAACACCCAGGTTTACTACTCTCGCGCACAAGTTCCTACATCAATTTCGGAACTGCGGGGGTATGTGTAAAACATCTTTTGAACTCTGAAGTAGGTATTGTGCGTTTATATATGGATGTGATGCCGCTGATGTTTATAATATAAAGCCAACTTTGCGGATGAATGAATTTTTTGGCTGTATCATTTATATACATTAGTAATTACTTGATTCATATCTGTATTGGTGGTTTGCTCAGTTTCCCATTATAGTTGTACCTCAGGAGACCGTGAATATTTTTCATGCTTTTCTGCATCACATTGTTTGGAGTATGTGATATTGCATGATTTATGTTTTACTGAAGCTGTTTAATCGATTGGATGGCTGTTGTTTCCATGCTTTTCAGCATAAATTTGATTTTCTTAATCGTTTGCATTCCTCACCTACCCATTATAGTTGGATCTCATTATTGATGAAGTATTGTAATTAGCAATCTAAAATTTTTTTGATATGATTAAATCCAAAACTAAATTCAAAACAAAAGTTGTTTTACTGTGTTTCCTGTACTTGATATTATGCCTAGGCTATTCATATTTCAATTATAAGCTTCATTCCTAGATAGAAAAATACACAAATGATGACTTTGCGCAATTTCTACTTAAGTTTATGAATTTATAAATATATTATGTTTTCAAGAATAAAAATATTGCACTGTATAAAAATACTATTAACCTTTTTTGGAGGCATGAAAGTTGGGGGGTGGATGAGAGTTTGCGTCTAATGAGTGCTTTGCCCTCAATGCGGCAGTGCTGCGATATTAGCCCGAACCGGTTTGGTCCAGGCAAAGGAGGGATTGACTTGTGTTCCAAGCCATTGTTTCCCTCATGTTTGGAGCAAGGTTCACTCCTTTTTGCTTTGGGACTGTAAATTCGTTATTTTTGCATGTTAAGGTCTTATTTTATTGTATTTTTGTGTTCAGGACAGCCGTAAGCTGCTGTTGTTTCCTCTTTATGGTTTTATTCGAAGACGAGTAGGTGCTCCGTTGTAATTCTGAGTTGGTGACCATCTAACAAGTATCATGTGGTGCTCCGACTGTAGTTCAATGTTACGGGTTTATTTTTCCTTGATTCCCTTGTACCACAATCTTCCTTTCACCTCAAACATGTTGACGTCATCGCCACAATTGCTGTCATCACTTGCAAACCGCCTCGCCACTGGTTTCCTGTTGCCAACCATCGCTCGCAACTAATCGACTTTGCCGGCGGCCCTTCCTAGCCGCTGTCTTTTTGCTACCAGCCCTCCCCAGCAGCTTTCTCCTTGATGATAGCCCTTTTTACTGCTGTGATTGTTGCTCATAGACCATCCCTTTGTTGCTATCATCTGAAAGTCAACAACCATGCTTGTTTGTTTTTCCTTGGTTTTTCGGTTGTCGGCCGTTTTTATTTTGATTTTGAAAAATATGAAAATAGTTTAAAAGGAAAGATGATTTTTTGAAAGTAACATATTGATTTAGAAATAGATGAGACCAAACGAGTCTCACCTAAAGAGTATTACAACAAGTCAACTCTGGTGATTTCTCAACTATCATATTGTTTGACTTTATGTCTTTGAAATGATGTTATTTAATATTTAATCTTCCAATTTATTTAGAATTTAGGACTTCTATTTGTACGTTATCTGATCGTACAAATAGCCTAAAAAGATAGGAAGATTTACACTGTACCGGAAGGTAACCTCAGAATCCTAAAGTGTTAAGACTTATAATTGCACACCTACGGTAACATCGGAATCCTAAAATGTTAGGACTTATAATTACACAACAGAGTTGTGCAAAAAAAACCACCTCGAACTCCTATGAGTTGTTATTTAAACTAAGGAATGTGATTGGTGATGTGAAAGTGATTTGATGTTGCAAATCCATCTTGAAGTCGCCCTTCTGAATGTCCTCGGAAAGTGATTTGATGTTGCAAATCCATCTTGAAGTCCTTATCGACCTGCCCACGCTGTTTGCTTCAAACTCTTCGTTGTAGCACTTTAGGTTTGATGTCAATCCTATGTAACCACTAGGTTTTTCTAAACTAAGGTATAGTGTGTATCAAAATGATTAAGCATGCAGTATAAAAGAAAAGAACAATATAATGTACGGTAAAGAGGAAGAACAACATAGCATGCTGAAAGAATAGTATAACGTGCTAGGAAAAGCGGTATAACATGCTAGGAGAGTATTACAACATGCTAAGAAATAAAAATGCTGCTCCGTTAAACTAACTAGTATTCACTGTATAAGCAAAATAAACATTGCCTCGAAAACTCGAGAAAATTGACAAATAATTGCCGACGAAAAATTCGAGAGAATTGACGAATAACAATCCAAATAAAACTGGTAAAACTTCGGGAAAATCCCGGAAAAAAGAGATCATGAGTGCTTTGTCCAAAATTGAATAAAACATATGAAAAATTCCGAAAAAGAGGGGACCGCAAACACTCGGGTCGGGGCTATGCTCAAATATATATTTGTACTTGAGAGTCGTCGAACGAGGGGACCGCAAACACTCGGGTCGGGGCTATGCTCCAATATATATTTGTACTTGAGGGTCGTCGAACGCTACTCGGTCACCCGAATGTATGAAACCCGTCACTCCACTAGAAGGATATCTACTGAACATAACTTAGGAGGGTACTCTTTAGCCTAGAATCGGTAATCAACAAGTGGACAACCCAGTTGTAACATATTTAAAATTTAAATTGTGGCATGCACATGCATTTCTGACATACAAAAGGAAAGTTGTATTTAATTTTGTATTGAAATTATTTTTTTATAAATGTTATATTTGTTCTTATCAATTTGTTTTATCAATTTCAAAAGAAAATATAGTTGTCCACAAGTCGATCGCGTCATCGGACCTAGGACTACCGACAACCTAAGAAGGTATGAGCCCCCCTCTAGTCTTATGTCGGTGAATGATACTTTCATCCTACAGTTCATCAGATTCCAGAATTGAGTTCTGGTGTTGTAGGATGAGGTTACATTCTGCTCTACCTCCGACGTGCATTTGTCATCATCACCCTATGCCCCAAAACAAAACCGACTTACTTACCGACTCATCACCCTATGCCCCAAAACAAAACCGACTTACTTGCGACATTGCTTGATGGTTTCACATATAGAAAAAAACTAGTATCAGACATAAGCACATCAGACATAAGCACAGAAAACCAAACTAAGAAGCAAGGAAAGAAAAGAATAAAAATGAGGATGGGAGAGAGGAGGAATTGATTTACCCAAAAGATTGAAAGAGTAAAGGGTAAATCAATCCTCAAAACTGTATCAAAAAGATCCTTGAATCAATCCACAAGAATATCATTTTCTCAAATTTTAGGATTGGATCAACCCTTGAAGGCTATCCTTTCCAAAAAATTTTTCGAATCAAATCGAAACGGGCCTGAAAGCTAAGGTGAAACTATACTCATGACTTCCCCCATCTGTATGCACTCACACCGAAGCCTGAACCCATGTATATCATTTATGTTTTCCAAACTTTCATGTTGCATTTCCGAACACTTTTCCAAATGACAACTTCATAAGCCTTCAAATCTATTCATAAGTCTAATTCATATCAGCTTTATAATTTCCAAAACAAAAATCATTAAAAGCCTTTCACATACCACCAGCTCGATTTACTCCATGAAGAAATCATCAATTAAGACTCACAGATAAGGCCATAACAGAAAGCAGAGGGTCACAAGTATGGCCAGAAAAGAAAAGCCAAATCTCTTAGCAGATAGACATAGGAAGAATAGAAGTATAGGAAAAGTCTTGCATATGAAATGATTTAAAACATGCTTCCCTAAGCTATTAATCCAACTAGCATAAAAAGAAAATCCCAAATCAGCCTCCACAGAGACATTCAACGCTTGTTGTTATGAGTCACTAGGCAAGACAAAATCAAAGCTTTATGCATGCATTTTTCCTTATTTTAACATCTCCAGCAACATGTTTCGAGCAAGGCAACAGAACGGAGGAGAAGAAGAAGAATACTTGTTTAGTGCAGATTTAAAGCAAAACACTAAAAATAAATTGAAAAAAACTCCCCCACAGAAATCCTTCCGGAATGCGTCGCGCAAATAGCTCCCCGGGTTTCTAGCTCCCGGCTCGACAAGCTCTAACCACAAGAGTATCGACCAACAGAGAGGAAGAAGAACTCCTTTCGAACAGTAAAACAGAAAGAGGTAGCCTTCCCAACAGTGAAGAAGAAAGAAAGAAAGTACCAAATTTTTTCAAAAAAGCCTTCCTCTCTCAAAAGTCCTCTCCCTTCTCTCTCAGAATTTTTTAACCACCCCACACAAAAACTGAACTCTAATAGAAGCCAATAGGTAGAGATAAGCAAAAGAGAATGCCACCTGTTTGGCGCCCAAGACAATCAACCGAAAAGAGGAAAGGAAGAGTCACAAAAAAAAAGGGGGAGCGCGTGTAGCCTCGAGTAGGAGCGTCGGCCAACCCGCTTCTTTCAATTGGAGAGCTGAACGACTGTCGTGCCACGTACGGGGAAGAAGATAGCAGCCGCATGGATCCACCGTGGAAGCTAGGGCACGGGCGAGAGGGTGCGGGATGAGCCACGGGATCGAGTCCTAAGATGGCTCGAACGAAGGTTTAGACGTGCAGGTGAATGGGTAAAATAGGGATTAGGGTTATAATTAGGTTATAATTAAGGAGTAAAATTTGTAAAAAAAGTATTTAATATTTTGAAAAATAAAATTTGATGTGTTTTACTCTACTTTTTAGTCGTGCGTCAAAACATAACAAAATTGGTATCTATTTTCGGTAGTTATGACGTTCCGAATGAGCTAGTGCTGTCCGTTTCGTCGACGGATGTCGTTTGGAGAAGTTTGCATTTTCACCTATTATTAGGCTCAATTGAAGTCCGATCCTGTGCAACTTAGCGAATTTTGTGTATTTCGTGTGTGTATGTGGTTTTCGTAGGGCTTGAAATCCTATTGAGAACTTCTCCCTGAGTCTCTACACAATAGCCCTTAACTGCTCGTCGATAAGACGATGGTTTTGAGACCATTAATGTGAGACATC